CCTGTCCTAAACCAGCAGACAAAGATTCTTTTTCTGAGCTGAATTGCACACGGAAAGATCTTTGGGGCATGTTGTAGCACACAGCTGTAACCGACAATTAAGCAGTGTGGGAAGATAATTCTAAACAAAATAAATCTATTGGCATCAAAGGATGCTTAGGGCCTGTGGAACAGCTCTAGAAGCTCTAGGGCACCTTGGAAAAGATTCAACCTAGCAAAACACAAATGCTCTGAAGTGCTCTGGATTTTATCCTGCAGCTTGTCCTGACTTGAGTCTTGCTGATGCATGTGAGCTTTTTAATTTTTTTTTTGCATGAACATCCAAATATGTTTCCACGTGCTTCTTTCCAAAGCTATGGATTAGTTGTGCAGAGTTTTGAAATGAACCCGTTCTCAAATGTATGCATTTTCTTGCAAGATTAAAGCATATTTAGGCACTTTATTGAAATGTATTCATTTTAAGATATATGCACATTGTCATGTCATAAAATGAGCTGAACTGAATGTCTCATTCATTCTTGCCTTTCATATTTTATTTATTTATTTATTTATTAAAACATTTTTATGCCGCCCCATTCGCCGAAGCCTCTGCGCCCTTATAATATGCCCTTAGCACTGCATTTTGACAATTTCCTCTGTATCCAAGAAAGCAGGACAGGTTGGTCATCTTAGAAGTCCACAACCCTTTCCTTCCTGTTTCCTCTTTCTTTTCTAGGAAAAAAATACTTTTGAGGTAGATCTCTATCTCCTATTGTATAACCTGGCTTTTCTACAGCACTTATCAGCTATAGAACATGTTCTGCGATTAGGACTACAAAATGATCTTAAGTTAAAATGAGAAACATTGGAGGAAAGACACAGAGGACTAAAATGGTGTCATTTTATTGAACTATTGCTAATTTACTTGTTTATTCTACTGGCAATATATTGTTTTGATTAAAATTAACCAAATTTTATCTCAACCAATGTAAGTTTCCACATGTTTTTCTCTCTGAGCAGGTCTTTCATAGGGAGGTAAACAAACCAGGCCAAGCTAGGACTGCAAGCCTGAGCATTTATATCATCTCACCATTCATTCCAGCAGCTCAGTGAAGTCTTCACAGTCCCCTTTCTTACTTTACCTTTACAAAAACGCTATGAGTTGTAGGTGGAGGGGAAATTGGCCCAGGGTCATAATCTGCTTGAGGCCAAGGAGCTGTGATTCAGGGTAGGCAGGGTGAAGTACCTGCCAAGGGCTCACCTGGGCTCTTTGTCTCATGCTGGCCGGATGATGGTGGTAGTGAGGTCAGCAGTGGGTGGCTGCCTGTGTCTGGCTCTTGGCCTGCCAAAGAAGCAAGCAGTGGGTGACAAAGAGGACAAAGAAACAGATCCACTGAGAGAGGGTGTTTTGCCCAAAGGCAAGGAGCTGACACTCAGAAACCTGCAGCTGGCAGTGCAAGACCTCATCCTGCAAGCCTCCATATGTTCACTCAAAAGAACATGCTACTGCCCAAAGTAGGGCAGTGGTCTTGGCTGGGGGCCCATATGGCCAGTTTCAGAAAGAAAAACCATACATTCAAGGGAAAGCACAGGATTATGGTAATGGGCAGGTATGGTCCTAAGCACCTCCCCGTATTTTTAAACAGGATCCTTGTAATCTATAGCTTCTCTTATCAAAACAGCAATTGTTTGCAAGGGGTGAAAATCTATCTTCAATCTCAAAAATACCCTCTAAGAATACTCAGCAGGTTCCCTTTTTATTCTTTACACAACCTATAGTTAAACAATGTTTAAGTAGCTGACATTCGGGTCCATCCGGATGGCAATATGGTTGCAATGTGCTGTCAAGTCAGCCCTGACTTATGGTGACCCCATGAATGAAAGCCGTCCAAAATGTCATGTCCATGACAGCTCCATTCAGCTCTTCCATGTTCAAGGCTGTGGGTTTCTTTGTGGATTCAATCCATCACTGACTGGGATACTGGTGATGATATATTTCCATTGTGACTAGAAGCCATTGATAGACTTATTCTCCATGAAGTATCATTGGAAGGCACATAAGGCATCCATCCTATTAAAGCTAAGCAGGTCTGGGGCTGGCCTGAGCTTGGAAGAGGGAACACCTGGGAACCACATGTTACTACCTTGAGTTCCACAATGGGAGAAGGGTGGAATATAAATATAATAAATAAATAGTCACATCCCCCTTTCTAGTCAAAGGAAGCCAGCATGGCATCTTGCATCTGCTTGAAGTACTTCTCTGGGATCTCTCCCATTTAGGTTCAGTGGAAGAACCTGTGTATAATACCTTCTCCGTCTTCAATAAACCCTCTTGTACATATCTGGTAATATTCAAGTAGCACAGCTGTATCTGATCTCCTTGTGACCAGAAAGTGCAGTTTCTTAGATGCATCTCTGTATCTTTAATTGTTATATAAGCCAGTGTGATGTGACAGAGTGATGCTCTGGGACCTGGAAGATCTGGGTTCTACTTGGCCCTGAAGCTTACTGGGTGACTTTGTCCAGTTGCTCACTGTCAGCCTAACCTACTTCACAACTTAGTTGCTGGGAGGATCAAATAGAGCGATGGAAGACACCTTATTTATTTATTTGGAGTGCTTGTATGCCGCCCCATTCGCATAAGCCTCAGGGCGGCTTCCAACAAATAAATAACAATATACAAAAATATACAGAATTGGAAACATCCCAGAGTTAGATAAAAGCAATAAATAATTTAACAATCAATTAAAATAACCTTTAAATAAAAAGGTCTTGGCCTGGCACCGAAAAGCAAATAACCTTGGGTTTCTCACAAGAGGAAAACTGGCAGGATGTAAAAGTAATGTAATATAGAAATGGGAGTTTAGGAGATGTGGCTTCTCATGCAAAATGACCTACTAAAATGTTCTCTTCTCCACCATCGTTAAAGATACAGGAGTCTTTCCCAGCAGCTCACACCTTCTTTGTAGCACTGTGTCAAAATAAGATGCTGTTCCTTACAGAAGTTTCCTCTTAAAATTACAGAAGCCCTTCCCTCTGCATCTGAGCTGCATCTCTGTACTGGTTACTGGGGACCATGGCAGGACAGTGCTGCTGCGCCCGTATCCTACTTGTGAGTTTCCCATGGCCAGCTGGTTGGTCGCTGTGCATACTGCTTGTCGGGCAGAGGGACCCCCTTGCTCTGGTACAGCAAGGGGCTTCTTATGCCAAAGCTCAAGCACAACGTGCTTGTCTTGTTTTAACAGCCCCAAGTGGGTGGAGGACTGGGATCACAACTCTGCATCCAAGAAACCAATTTCCAGAGTTTTATAACCCTCCCATCCGTGCAGCCCCATCCGTGGAATGTTGATGTGAAAGAAAAGCCTCCCCGTGTTCAAATGTAATTGTAATTGGGAGTACATTCAGTTGAATTCATTGGGCATAAACGAACAGCAGCTTGGACAGCAGGCATCAGCTTCAGTTGAATTCATTGGGCATAAACGAACAGCAGCTTACTCAAGCTAAGCCCTGTTAGGTTCAATGGGAACTCCCAGATAAGTGGTATAGAGTTTGGCTTGATTCAGTACTAGCAGTTGTTATGTGCTAATAATCAGGTTGTGCTTCCCTTGGCTGAATTCTTCCCATTCAAGCAACTTCCCATATTTTAAAGGGTTGACTCTTAATGGAACCTGAGACACATATTGACTGTCTCCCACATTGCAAGCTCTAAAATATACCCATTGAGAGTATCCCTAATTCTGGAAATATCTGCGATTTGGCTCTTTGGATCACCTACTCTGGGTGGCAAAAGAAGATTGGTTCTCTTTAAGATCAACATTTTGGCTCTGATTGGCCCAAGGGGAGGAGGCCTTGCACCTTTCTATAAAAGGTGTTTCTTTCCAGCAGCTTTTGCTCCTTTTCTTTTTAAAGGTTGGTGAGTTGTTTGTCAAGTTGCACTGTATTCTTTCAGAACTAGCTAAGGAGAAGAGATAGGATGTGATGGATGTGGTACCTTTGTGCTTATGGAGAATTGATTTGCTGTTGCTCTCTTTAAAGTAGGGCTATACCAAAAACTGTCTCACATATTTTTGACTATTCTCATTTTCCTTAATGGTAAAAAAGAAACTTCTTCTTTAAAGCCTTTTAAAAGAGACAACAATCTTGGAGAATTTCTCAAAGGTCAGTTTCTTGTGTTTACCTTATTGAGAGCACAAGAAGGGTGCACAAGTCTCTCGTCTTTCATTGTACAGAAGAAATCTCCTTGGCTTCCTGCCCAGGGAAGACCTGCCGTAATTCATTCCATAGGATTTTTCAGACCAGGAAAGGCAGGTACTCTGAGAGGTTGCGGAAGAGACAGGTAATTAAAAAAAGGACACACAGCACCCTCAACTTCCTTGTAGTTGTAAGGATGCTCCAAAGATGACTGGAAAATAAATTATAAAAGATCCTTAGAATGAAGCAGGAAAATAGGAGCCTCTTTCAGAGAAAAGACAACTTCCAAATGGAGGACAGGTGCTGTCATGATGGCACTGCTCCACTGCTTCCCTGGAGCTACAATCAAAACTTCCCCCACCCTAGCTTGTGATATTGCAGGACAGGATATCTGTCCTCTTCAGACCGATCTCTCCAGCTGGAAAATAGAAAATAGAAGTGCTTTGGCTTGCAAAAAGTTTGAAGGAGCCTCGGTGTTTGCACATGGGGAAAGTGTGTGTCGTGCTTGTCCTGACTTGCTTGGATGTGTCTGGACTTCCTTGGTCCTGCAAAGGTCTTTCTGGAGTGCACCCCCTTTTTTCATGGTCTTGGTGACCAGGTTCTGGTGGGTATATGGTCCCGCTTGGCATTAGTCTAGAGAAGTTGAAATAAAAATGCCGAGGAGTCTCATACCTTTGTTTGCATGGATGTGATGGTGCAGATAGTTTCTGGTTTGTAAATCTATCTTCATATAGCACTCTGCATGTGTTTTTAGCCCATGTTTTAACTGGCCCTTTTAGCAATATGCAAGTTTCACAAAGTTCCTTTCTCCTTAGAGCCCTGCTTCAGATAATGGCCATGGAAGCCAGCTTTGCTAGCACCAATGGCAGCTTACAGTCAGAGAAGCCTGTTTGTCTCATCTGGGGTAAGCCACTCTCTCCCCACCCCGTGTGGTCAAGGAAGCATCTGTTCTAAGCAACTGGCTGGGGAAGGAGAGATTGCCAGATGTCTGCCTGACTCCTGATTTCCACATACAGGGTGTCAGCTTAGTGGTGAGAATCCAACGTACACGTTTGACGTTCCAAAGGAGTGGTCATATGAGCAGCAGCTGGCTCTGAGAACGGTGAGCAGCTTCCTATCTTTTCTGATAAGATAGAGAGGGGTGCTGCGCATGCACGCCTGTGTCAGAGCAATTTTCCAACACTATGGTAGGTATAGACCAGTTCTCATTATGCAAGTGCCTTCCAGATGCTTTAGATGCACTCTGCAACAGCTTTCCGTCAGTGCTGATGACTGTTGTGATCCTGAGCATCCTCACAACTCTTAATTTCATATAAAGGTAAAGGTTTCCCCTTGACGTTAGGGCCAGTCATGCCTGACTCTAGGGGGCGGTGTTCATCTTCGTTTCCTAGCTGAGGGAGCCAGCGTTTGTCCGCAGACAGTCTCCGTGGTCATGTGGCTGGCATGACTAAACACCGAAGTGCACGGAATGCTGTTACCTGCCCACCGAAGTGGTATCTTTTCATCTACTTGCATTTGCATGCTTTCGAACTGCAAGGTTGGCAGGAGCTGGGACGGAGCAACAGGAACTCACTCCGTTGTGCAGATTCGAACCGGCAACCTTTCGATCAACTAGCCCAGCAGCACAGTGGTTTAAACCACTGCACCACCTGCAGTCCCTTTAATTTCATATACAATGTGCCAAATTGCACAAGAACTGGAATACAAAAATAAGAAAGCACATTACTATATCCATGATGTCATACATCATTATAATGACCACCCAAACAATTAATTTTGCTCAAATTCCAGTAATTTAACAATCATTCAGACAATGTTAGTTCATAATCATCGGTAATGCCATAAGCCAAAGATAATTATAGAAAACCTTTCTAATGCCTTGAGGCATTAACAAAGGTGCAGCAAATAACAGCTTCCCTTAAAAGTGCTAACTACTGGCCTTGCTATGTTGGAGAAGCTGTGTGTTGATCTAAAAACTACTGGGGATACATGTGGCTATTAGCTGGGCCATGGAATGAGGGGGAGTGGTGGAAAATTCAAAAAGGCAATGCATTACCTGTGTCACACATCTGTTGTCACTACCCTTCAGCACTTCTAGATCCTCTTATGGCAAAAGTCCACGTTATTGGTAAAATCAAGGCTAGATGTTTTTAGAGGTGCCTGGTGTTCCTCTGATGGACCTCTGCACTATCATTCTATATTCTGAAATGATCTTGCTACATATGCACGTGACGCCTTTGACTTTCTCTCCAAAGATCTGCCTAGGAGAAAATGCCAAGGATGAATTCAACATTGTGGAGATCATTCCTCCAAAGAATAGCAAAGAACCCACTCCGATACACATAGCAACCTTGAAACTTTCTGTGCTTCCTATGGTGAGTGTCTTATTTGCAAGCACTCATTCAGGCATTTACAGTTACCCCTGCCTCAGACCTTCTATTTTGCACCATCATGTTGTCTGAGCTTCCCAAAATGCCTTTCTGGAGATGCTAAACAAGACAGGATCTTGGTCTGACCTTGCACAGGTCATGGTAGGTTTTGTGAGCCAATGTACCAAATCAGTGTACAGGCTGATACTCTTGTTTTACTCTACAGCTACTGCTGAATATTCAGTATATGAATTTGTGTACCCTCCAGGCTACTCTGTCAGGCTTTGATCTGACTCCTCCTGTTACATTCAGGCTAAAATCAGGCTCTGGACCCATCTTCCTTGCTGGGCAGCATGTAACAGGTAAGATCCAAAATGTTCGCCTGTCACAAGACAGCTTGTAATTGAATTTGGGCTCTAGCAAGTTCTACCAAGAGACAAATCCAAAGGTGCTGATGAAATTTGTTTTGCTTCCCTCATGTCATGAATGGGCAGATATTTTGCAAACTGCTGAGCTTCTATCTATAGCTGTTGCCATGTGACCGTCCGAAGGTGACTTTACATGCCTGGCTGTGCATTGAGCTCAGATTGGATGCAGAACTGTTGGTAGGCAGGGCCACCTCTTTCTATATCTCTTTCTTCCCAAATACCTTTTCTCCTCTACGAGAGTCACCCATCCAGATCTTTTGACCAATTCATTCACTCTCACCAAATTAAATGGATTCTCTACCCAGAAATCCTGAACCAAGCCCTGCCCAGATAATAGCCTACCCTGACCTTTTTTGGCCTACCCTATAATAGCCTACCCTGATCCATCTTCAATGGATGAAACTGTTTGAACTTCTGAGGCCCTTGTTACTGTATGTTCTCCTCCCCACCAAGTATGGAAACGAAGCTGGTTGCCAGCAAAAGGACAGATATGTCTTTACTCTGACAGTCCATTTAACCTTCTGTGAGTGGGTAAGGGGAAAAACTTTTCTTCCTCCCTTCCCAGAAGGGAAATTCAGTGTGCAGCTGAGGACTGAAGGTCTGAGGATGGGTTGCCGAGGACTCATTTCTCACTCCTTGTAATGTCTGAAATTGTGAACCGAACAACCGATCTGTACTGCAGAAGCATACGCTGATGGCGTGTGGGCAGCGATTGAGGGCGATGAAGGGCTGGAACAAAAGCAGCTTTCAGAAAGAAGTGGTAGTTTAAGGGCATGCAACTGTTTGAAGAAATGGACTCTGTGCAGCAAGAACTTCAGCTGAAGTTTGCATAATAACAGGAGAAGCATGCTCACTGAGGTTGCTCCCAGGCCAGACTTTTATTCAATTATTACCAGTGCCATTCATGGAATTTTATGGTGAGGCAGAGCCACTGTTTTCTTCCATTCATAACACACTCATGTTGTCCCACTACTTCCATCTTTTTTCTCCTTCCATAGAAAGCAGGTAGGTGAAAAGGAAGAAGAGCTGCACGTCACTCTTTGACCACAATGACCAGGATCTTTTCCACCTGGAAGCACCTTACACTCATGCAATTTACTATTGTATTTGTTTCCCACCTTTCTACACAAAAATTTGTATCTAGTCTGGACCTGATCTAAATTGGCTTCAAAGTAGCTGGTCCAAGGACCCTGGGTGAACATTCTTAGTTGATTTTATTTACAGCCTCACAAGCTGCCTCTTACTTTTCAGTTGGCTTGCCCTGGAATAGAGAGGAGGAGGAATCATCATCTGCCCCACCTTCATCACTCGAAGATGAAGACTTGGAAAACTCTTCCAAGGAATACTCTCCTGCAAAACCTGCCAAGGGTCCATCCAGCAAGCGTGCATTTATGGTAAAAAGGGAGGCAGAGCAGACTGCCAAGGAACAATGCCAGGTAAACCTGGAAAGAATGGAAAGAAAGAAGCAACAGTATAGGAAATGGAATTAACCGATTGCATGTTGTTTCTGACTGCTTTTTAGCTACCTTCCAAAAGGACATCCAGGGTAGGAATGTGTTGATGCTAAGCAACCCAGCTTGTCTGAGGTCAACAGATCCCCTGCCTACTTCCAGTCGAATGACTGGAAACACCCATCAAAGAGACCTGTTTGCTCTGCCTGTGACCTTCCAGTGTATCTTCTAAAAGCAGGTGGACTAGAATAGGCTCTTGGTCTGATCCAGCAAATGAATTATGTTACGTGCATCTCGGAGAGCTCCTTTGAACACCCAACTCATGTCTTTCAGAATCAGGGTTCATTGACACCTCAGCCCAAAGCAACAATAATAGACTTAGTTTCATGAAAGGAAGTGGGACAGTGATCTTGGATTTATTGGCAGAATTTTCAGCACTTTCATGAAGTTTGAGTTCCCTGGATTAGAAAAATAGGAACAGAATGAGTCAGAAGGGGCCTCCCAGGCCGTCTAGTCTGACGCCCAGCTCTGATCATGACATGCCTACCATTAGTGGAATGAAGGAGTACACATGATTAAGTTGGGGAAAGGTTACCTGTTGTGTGCTAAATGTATGCCAGATTAATTCTTTCCCCAACATCTTCCAATAAATATGTAAGCCTATCAATATAATTTGGGTGTTATAGCCTCTTCATGAGCACAGTACTATATTAAGGGAGTTGTGGAGATTGTTCCCACCTCCCTAATTGGTTAACCCTCCCTCAATCTTTGAAAGTTGGAAGCTACAACAAACTAGCAGTTTCGTATCTGTTTGCCAAACTATTCTAGAATATTTTGCATGTAGAATCATGACATCCATCACCTGATATGTCAGACTTGCAGTGTCTTTGATCTAAAGATGGATGCACAGAACAACTGTAAAATGTGTTGGTGGTGATAGTAGCATAAGGGGCAACCTAAGATTTACTTGCCTGAAGACTCTGGGCTGCAACTTCCAAGAGGTGCATCACGGGTGTCTCCTGATATCTTTCTTCATATGTGCTCCTTAAAAATGATTTTGAATGAGCTTAAATCTTTGTCCACAGAAGTGTAAACACTTTCATTTTCTTCTACAGGAAAAAAGAACAAAAAGAGGAAAGAATCTGCAAGGAGAGCTGAGGATATGAGTTCTGATGTTAGGTGAGGTAAAAGTGGCATTTTTAACATGCCTTTATGGAGGGAGCGACCACAACATTTCTTGCACAAACCCAGGTTTTACTTCTTTATAATAAAGTCAAGCTATTTAGAACATGGGCAGAGGACCCTCTAAGGCAGAAGGTCAGGGCTTGCAAGTGTCCAGGGTCTTTGAGGGGGTGATTCAGTGTTTGAGAAGCCACAGGGACATCAGAGGGCCACATCTGGCCCTTTCACTTGAGGTTCTGCATCTCAGTTTGGCAGTTTTGAAAAGGAAAGGAGGGGAGTTACAGATGGTCTGGAATGTGTCGTACATCTTCTACTTGGATGCTGATGGCTTAAATGAGGAAGGCGTATTTAACTTCTGGGGCTGCTAGCAGTACTATTTATTATGGGCACAAGACCCAATGCAGAATGTAAATAAGAACAAGGAGACATTTCCTCTAACTTACTTAGTCTCTTACATGCATGGTGATCAGAAGAGAATTAGCCACCTGTTCAGTGATGAGAGCCACTTTGAGTGCTTTAAAAAAGGAAAAAAATATAGGATAAATCTTAAAATTAAATAATAGATGCATGGTGTTTTATGTAATTGGTAGAACATTACTAATCTTACATCTAGGTAATTTACATGGCATCTGAAATCAGGATAGAAACTATGATATGAAAGTACATGTCCCAGAGTTTCATGGAACTCTTTTCCATGGATATAGATTCTTCAGTATGGGTGGTACATGCTATACTTGGTTGCTGGGGGCTTAGCTAGGCAAGAACTATTTAACGTTAATGGTATTTTTTAAAAAAAACCCTACCTGGAAAGGCTATAGTCTTATGCACACTTACCTTAATTTCAGCAGGGGCTTCCTTCTGAACAGATATGTGAGAGTTTGTAAGTTATGAAGGGGCTTGTAGGGCTGCTTGGAACTCAAATTCATGTCTTTGCTCTGGAAACTGCTCACCACCACTTTTTGCTCTCTTTCAGGAAGTGTCAGGAAGAGCTGGATGTATTTAGTGCTGTTAGAAAGGAATAAAATTGTATGCACCCTACTCTGGAATCTGTCTTATTTTCTCTGGGTAGGCACTCAAACTGGCATGTCGCATCTGCATCTTCATCCCTCCTTGTGGGGAGCAAGTTGCTCAAGAGAATGGCAGCTCCCAGGAGACCAGGCTTTAGAATTTTGGGAAAGATAGCAAATCTTTTCAATGCTTGTTTCAATGCTATTTGGTACAAGCTAGCTCTAATTTAATTGGGTAGTTTACTTTTAAACATTCACCCCTTACCACCTTTTGGTCTTATGCTTATCAGAACATTCATGCAGGTTACGGTGGCTCTTTTGTTGGCTGTACGTGCAAAACAATTCCCCCCCTCAAAAAAGCAAGCGGGGAAGGTGCTTATGTGTCCCAAAACAGAAGAGAAAGCAGAATTTTAGAATCTCCAACACACTTGAGAAAGGAATTTCTTTCGTTATCATTTTTCACATACGCTGCAGGAAATCTCAGTGATGCTTCCTCTGTTCTATTTTGAAATAGAAGAGGAATTGGCTAGAGCCCCCAAGCAATTTCTGTGTGCCCCTTGTCAGAATTTCAGCTCTGAAAGGAGTGAATGAACAGATCCAAACCGGAGCATGCAGTCACAGCAAACAAGTATTCCTATATTACAACAGCACTGACGGGTAGCCAGTTTAAGGCTGACTACAAAGAAACAGAGCATATGCAGAGTGTTTTATGGAGTTGGTATCCTGTATGCATCTCAGGGAGGGGAATGAGACTTCAAACAATATATATCCCCCCTTTTCATTTAAAACAGAAAAAACCATAAATACAACATATTTATTATTTATTACATGCATTTATACTCCATCCTATCGCTTCAAGTGCACATCACAACAATGGTAATATAACATAGCATAAACACAATAATTAAAAAGTAAATGATAAAGTGCCCCCACCACCCTGGAAACCAATACTACCACCACTTAATTCACATATTATGACATAAATATATAATATACTTCAATTATATCCATATCCCCTCCAAAAATTCATATAATCTTGATTAGGTTTACAGCCTTTGCCTTCTATCAGTACTGCTTTTACAAAATCTTTCCAAATTTCATTATATTTATTTGCTTTCATTAACATAGGGCCTAAGCCAACATCTGGCAGGCATATTACTTCTTCTCTTTGGCCATCCATCCGTCCGTCCTCCATTCTTTTTCCATCTCTTAAATATTGCAGAAATTCCGGTGAGAGCAGCATCTGACAACTTGTGTGATGTTCATATCTTCTGGGCTTGCAAAGACATTGACACATTTTGGGGTACAGCCATTGTAAGAAAACAACGGAGCCTGTCCTGTGGAAGAAGAGAGCGGTATGTCAGGACATGCATACTAGGGGCAGGCAGACCCTCCCATGCTTTGCCAGCTAGGAAATCACCACTCACTGAGGTTACCAATCTACACCCTACCCGATTGCTTTTTAGAAAAGGATGCTATGCCTGCGTTGCAGCAGATCATTTTTCTTCACTGCTTGTGCAGTGCTTCACATGTTGGCTTCTGGAGGGCTGCTAAGGACACACAAACATGAGGCGGGTGCTTTTCCTGAGTGGTTGGCACTCTTGAGGCATAGATCCGTCTCCCCTTCTTTTGTCTGCCATTTACGATTTCTGGACATACAGCGGGAGTGATGCGCATGTAGCGACACACTGTGAAACCTAGCCACACTGTGAAGCCCAGCCGCAGGCTCAGAGCCATGCTTCTCCTTCTTATTGCTCAGGATGGTTCCAGAAGCAAACCCTCTGCGGCGTGCATCACTTACCAAAATAGATTGTCTTCTTGTAGCAAGATTGCCCTATGTACAGTCTGCAAGCAGGTAGCCGACCGAGGCACACATGCTTTGGAGGCTGGACTAGACATTGGATGCATTTGATGCCAACGGCTGGGGGGAGGGAGGAAGAATAGGAGGAAACCAAGAGAAGTATGAGAACCAAGACAAACTTGAGACGATCGTTCAGCACAAGGGTCCACCCCACTCTTCTGTTATGCTATTGATGAGTCACAAAGGGAGAACCCAGTCCTATGGAGGAAAAATGCATATGTAAACCCTGCCCCCATCAGCTGGCAGAGCGAAAAGAGAGTGTGCTACACTTTCCACCTTCTCAGGGGTCAAGAGGCTCAAGAATAGATGGAAAGTTGAGGGCACTGGTGCTCCAAAGGCTGAGCACCTGACAGGTCCCTGCAAAAAAAACCGGGCTGGCTGTTTTTCCAAGGATGCAGCTGGGCCTTGGAGCGGTAGGAAAGGGGAATGCTGGGAGGAGAGAGGGGGATTCCTATTGGTGCCCCAGCCTCAGAAATTCATCTACACAATGAAAAAAGGGTATCCAGATACTATAAATCAGCGGCAGCAGCCCTTGCTCCTTGTTTTGGATATATGTAAACCTCCAAGTGCAAATAATTTTGTGCATTTGAGTGGGCATTGAATTATACCCTTTTTATTTTGAATGTGTAAACAGCATCAAACAATTTTGAAAAGTTTGATTATTGCTGTATAACTAAGAATGGGCAAATTAGCAAAACTTTAGCTTGCTGAAGTTGGCAGAATTTCACTTTGAAGCTCATTCTGATGAGTTCATATCAAACAGAAAGCTTTGGGTTTTTTGCTTTGCTTTGTTTTTTTAGAATGAGCATGTGAAAATCTACATGAATTTTTGTGCACAGATCCCAGATGTACATATCCATTTTGTGCATCTAAATGTAGGCATTCTTCTCCCATTGATTAAACCAGATTTGTGTGCATTTTTCAAAAGTGCACATTTCATATGTATGAATGCTGTTGAATGCATTTGTTTTGGTCCATGGCCATACTGA